AGACAGCTCCTCCTCCGCCTGCCAAATCTCGCGATAGCAGTCGCACAGTTGCGGGCCAGTGGCCTGCTGCTACCAGATCTCGCGAAACTCGTTTTCCCTCCCGGGAAGTTGCCAGAACTAAGTCTGGGCGGTATGGCCTCTTTCCGGCTTCTGCAAGCTCTTGCGAAAAACTTTATTGACAAAGCTGCTAAAGAACGAACAGTGGACTGTGAAGGGGGTTGAGGCTAAGCTGGATCATGCAGATGGGCTCACAGCTAGGAGCATGACTTTGCTTTGCCCAGCAGTGGTCATTTGGTCCATCTTTCCGTCCCCCACATTTGAGCCTTGTCTCTCTCAGATGACTGGTTAGAATGATTCCAATTCTCCCTTTCCCCAATTATTTAAGTAAACAAGCAAAAAACGCGTATGTGAAAATTTTCTTGGAAAGAGCAGAGAATAATATGAGTAGGGCCCTCCAAGACAGGCTCTTGTACAAGCACCTCTGCCCCAAGCTCTCCTACCCCAGCCCAAAGACTTCCACTTGGATATTCATCTCTCACCAGTCTAGCAAACATTTATTGAACACCTCCTGTCTTCCAGCCACAATCCTGGGTTCTGGAGACAGAGATTAGCAATCCAGACACTGTCCCTCCCCTCATAAAGCTCAAATGACTTCAGGGAAGAACTACAGGAATGAGAAGCTACACCCTTATGTTTCTGCCCCTAGTCCTCCTACAGAAAAGATCACCTTGGGTTCCTATTGCTTTCTTACTCTTAAACCTAACCTAAAAAACAAGGTGTTTGGGGGGTCTGTGTACACGCTATAATGGGAACGTAAAATCCCTTTCCAGCCACTAACCTTCTTTCTGTTTCTGAAACAACCTGTCTTTCCCACTCATTGGCCTTTCACTTGCTATTCCTCTGCCTGGAACAGTCATTCTCCTAATTTCCCATTAAGTTTGGCAAAGAGGTTTTCCCTACTGAAATTGTCCTGTTGGTTAGTTGCTAGGCTTCTTTATTATGTTACCCCAGTAGAACAAGCTCTTGAAGCGCAAAGCCTTCGCCTGTCATCTTGTTCTTTCCTGTGTCTGTGCCTAGAATAGTGTTTAGCTAATAATAGGTGCTCAATAAATATTGAATGAATAAGTGAATTCCACCTCTTTGGGGGCATCCCAGCCTGCTCCAAGCACCCTCTGATGCACAAACCCACTCTTCCCCCACTCTGGTCTCCTGTGCTGGGAGTTCCTACACATCCCATGTTCCTAGAACACACACCTCTATGCCCAGCTGCACCAGCCCCCAACCAACTTTCAGAAAGGATGACGTCCTCCTCTGCTTTTTCTGTCGGCAGATTCAGCAGGGCGGGGCCTGCCCCTTTAATCTGGGCCCCACCTGCTCTGGTCAGACAGGTTTGGAGACACAGGTAAAGGGAGGGAGACCGAGAGGAATACTTGCAGAGCCAGCAGGAAGCCAGGCAGCTCCTTCCCGTGTGCCGGGGACCCTCTGCCTCTCTCCAGATGGAAAGTAAGAGGGTGTCATGGATCCAAACAGTAAGGGGTAGGAGGTCCTTGAGGAGGTAGAGGGAGGGGAATCAGCCCCATCCAGAAGCAGTGAGGTGGAGGGCGGCAGGGAGGGGAGAAAGACAGGAGAGGAGGCATGGGAAACAGCCATGATTTAACCTAGAGGTTAGAATGGACAGACCCAGGCTCTCCAGAGATGGAGGAGGTGGGTTAGTGAGAAGTTTGGAAACTGACCAAGTACCCAGACTGGAGATGAAAGAACAGGGTGTGCTGCCACTGCCAGCTCTTTGGGGTAGATTTGTTGGCAAATCAATGGTGGTATCAATTGCCAGGGGAGTTCTAACTGGGGATTTGTGAGGAGAAGGGGAGATTTGGAGGTGAAAGGGTAGCTTCTCTGGCCATAAGAAGAACCTTAGTGGGAAAAAAGCCCTTGGCAAAGTTCTAGACACCTCCTTTTCTTCCCATTCCTGTATTAGGGTGGCCATGACCCCAGAGGTTTTGGTGGAGGTGGGTAGAAGGCATAGGTGGAGGCTGGCTGAGGCCACAGCTGCCAGAGCCTGTGCCCCCAACTCACCCTCTGCTGCTGAATAGTATTCGATGTCGAAACGGTGCCTCCGTTTCAGCTGCTCACTTCCCTCTTGCCTCCCTCTGTTTCAACACCTTCCCTTGGACTATGTTCTCCTTAATGACCCAGAAGGGGCTAAAGCCCATGAGGCCAGCTGTCCTGGAGAGTTCCAATTCTATCAACCCATCCTGAGGGCCAGAGGACAGCAGCATCTGACAGAGCTTTCCTCTGCTCCCTTCAGGGTGACACGACCTTGCAGTAGACCCCCAAAGTGCTCCAGGATGACAGAACCGGAGACCCTGGCCCTGATGGAAGTGAAGGCGCCTGAGGCTTTGGAGAAGAGCCCACCCCAGGCCTTGGTCCCCAATGGCCGGAAGCCAGAAGGAGAAGGTGGGGCTGAGTCTCTCGGAGCTGAGTCCTCCAAAGTAGGGTCTTCAGCTGGGTCTCCCATAGCTGGAGAGGGGACTGAGGATGGTCTAGACAGCACAGTAAGTGAGGCTGCCACCTTGCCCTGGGGGACTGGCCCCCAGCCCAGTGCCCCATTCCCAGATCCCCCCGGCTGGAGGGACATTGAGCCTGAGCCCCTGGAGTCACAGCCACCCACCAAGCTAGAGGAGTCGCCTGAAGATGATGCCAGCCTGCTGCCTGAGAAGGCGGCCCGGGCCTTCGTGCCCATTGACCTACAGTGCATTGAGCGGCGGCCGCAGGAGGACCTCGTTGTGCGCTGTGAGGCGAGCGAGGGCGAGCGCCGCCGGGCCTTCCTGTCTCCCCGGGCCACCCACCCTGCGCCCCCAGAGTGCAAGTGGGCCGAGGCAGTGGTGAGGCCGCCTGGCCGCTCCTGTGGGGGCTGCAGGGGCTGTGGAGGCCGTGAGGGGCTGAGGGCCGTGGCCTCAGTGGGAGCCGCCCTCGTCCTCTTCCCCTGCCTGCTGTACGGGGCATATGCCTTCCTGCCCTTCGATGCCCCACGACTGCCCACCATGAGTTCCCGCCTCGTCTACACGCTGCGCTGCGGGGTCTTTGCCACCTTCCCCATTGTGCTGGGTGAGCCTGGGCCCTGTGAGATGGGAGGGCGCATCTGGGAGCTGGGCTGGAGGGCAGGGCCCGCTTGGCTTGGGGAACAGGAGCTTCCCTTCACTAGACCTGGACCCTCAGGGACTCCCACACCCTGTCACCCTGTGTGCCCGCCTCCTCCCAGGACCACCTCAGCCCCACGGCGTCGAGCCCATGCCCGTGCCCTCTCCACCACAAACCCTGTCCCCGCTTCCTGCCTGCCACCCCTCTCCTGATCCTCTGTGCTCTCCAACCCCACCCAGGGATCCTGGTGCATGGGCTGAGCCTGCTGTGTTTTTCTGCCTTACGGCCCTTTGGGGAGCCACGGCGGGAGGTGGAGCTCCACCGGCGATATGTGGCCCAGTCAGTCCAGCTCTTCATCCTCTACTTCTTTAACCTGGCTGTGCTTTCCACCTACCTGCCCCAAGACACCCTCAAACTGCTCCCTCTGCTCACTGGTCTCTTTGCCATCTCCCGGTGAGTTGGGGCTGGGGGTGGGGCACAGGGGAGGTGGTGGTGCTAGAGGGACCCGGGCATCAGAATGTCTGGAGAGCCCGGGACAGGGAGCTTTCTGAATTCTGCATCAGCCCAAATGAGCCCTGGAAATATAAGTCCACTTTCTCCATTGTAACTTACCTCACCTGGCAGCAGGTGATCAGCTCATATGTCTTTCATTATGACACATGCAAACCTAGAACAGGAAGGGCTTTCAGGTGTCACCTAGACCAACGTCCCACCCATTGCAGCACTCCTCAGTGGCACTCCGGTCTGGTGGCTGTTGGCCTCTAGTTGAGCATCCTCTGTGACCAACTGCTTAGTTCTTTATAAGGCAATCTGTTTCATTTTTCAAAAATCCTAATTATTAGAAGGTTCTTCTTTACGTTGTGCTAAAAACTGCTGCCCTGATTCTGACCTCTGAAAGTGCCTAGACAAATTCAGATATTTGATTGACAACAGTTCTCAATTCCCTGACTCCAGCACTCTGCTCCCTCAGTGTTTACTTTTCTAAGTAGCCCTGGTCCCTTCACTGTCCTGGGTCCTCCTGTCTGGGCAGGAAATTGTCCTGCTTGTCAATTGTGGGGGTGGGGGTGCTGTTCAAGAGTATTGTCCTGTTCATACAAACCAAGGCCATGTTAAGCCTCACAGCAGCCTTATTACTCTCCTTCCATTTAGAATTTGTCGTCACATGAAATCCTTAGAGGTATTTTCATGTGAACTACTGTTAACCCACAAGGCACCTTTGAATTTCTGAAGCCCAATGCAAGTCTTTCCATTTTTTTCTCCTAATACATTTCCTTTTGTTACTTTCCATATAGATTAGCAGGTAGCTTTTACTGCTAAAACATTCTTCCTATTGAGCTAAAATCTGTCTTCCTGACACTTCTGAGTGTAGTCTGGTGGTCATCTCTCCCACCAGCCTCCTGACCATCATACCGCCCTGTATGTTTCCCCCGATAGATGTTTCCAAAGATAAGTATGTTCCTGCTCATGTAACTCAACCTCACATCTCTCTCTGACGGTCTTAGAAAGAAGTTGGCTTAAGCAGTAAGAATCATCAGGGAGCTAAAAGAAGACTCAGCAACTGTCTGGTCCATTCATCCACTTTACAGAGAGGAAGTCACTACAGACCGGGGAGAAGAGTTGCATAGTTCAGTCAGCAGCAGTGGCAGAACTAGAACCCGTGTCCCTTCCCTCTCTCATCCAGGGTCCTTTCTTCTCTACCTTGGGCAAGTTACTTAAGCTTTTGTGCCTCGGTTTCATTATCTATAAAATGGAGTTATTGTGAAGATTAAGTGAGTTAATTCATGTAGAGTGCTTACAATAGTCTGGTACTTGGTAAGGGTTCACTGAATATGAACGTTTATTACCATTATGCCAAACTGCTTCCTAGTACAGTAGAGAGGCTGCAGTTACTCTAACCTCTGTTTCACAGGTGAAAAAAAAAGGTACCTCAATTTTGTAGTAAGTGGTCCTTCATATATTAAGAGGAAGCTGCTGCCCTCCCCCCAATGAAGGGATGTGTATTCTGAGTGGATCTTCCAAGAAAGGAAATTTGGTTGTGCCTGATCCATCTTTCTGGGCTTCAGGCTCTCTTGAAGCTTGCTTCATCCTCTCTTCTTTCCCTCAGCTTGTCTAAAATGGCAGGAGAGGAGGGTGATGAACAGGCATGGGTTCAAATCACAGTTTTACTATTTCCCCAATGTGCGACTTTGGACCAGTCTTGCTTAACCCCTTTGGAATCTTAGTTTCATCTGCAAAAGGGGAAATAAATACAATGGAATAAACTGCAGCTGTAAAAGTATGAAAAATCTGTTTCTATACTGATACAACATTATCTCCAACATACAGTAAATGGGAAAAAAATCAATGTGCAAAACAGTCTCTATATATAGTATGCTACCAAATTTCAAAAAAGGGGTAAAGAGAAAACAAACATTTTTTGTTCATATATACATAAAGCATCATGATGCACAAGAAACCACAACATTGGATGTCTCGGATGGGAGTGGAATCGAGGTGGGGAAGTGAGGGAAGAGGATGGGGCAGCTGGGAATCAGTAAAGGGAGGAAGACATTTTACTATACTCACTGGAATCTTTGAATTTTGAACCATGTGAACTTACATTGCCTATTCAAACATTTTAAATTAAAATTTGAAAAGTGAAAAAAAAAGAGGGAAGTGAATAATATATTCACTTCTGAGATATGGGGGTCTAAATTAAATAGTGCCCCCAAAGTAGTCAGCACTGTGCCTGGCACATAATAAGTACATAAACACTGGCTGTTTTTAGAAGCATCTGTCATGCCCACCAACGCCCATCTGCTCCCTCACTTTCTACTCCCCCCATCCTCAGCCTGTTGCCAGTTAGCAGACCCACTTCCCTCAAAGAAAGCCCGATCTTTTCTTGCCTCCCAGGCTTATATACTGGCTGACCCTCGCCGTGGGCCGTTCCTTCCGAGGCTTTGGCTACGGCCTGACGTTCCTGCCCCTGCTGTCCATGCTGGTGTGGAACCTTTACTACATGTTCGTGGTGGAGCCCGAACGCATGCTCACCGCCTCCGAGAGCCGCCTTGACTACCCCGACCACGCCCGCTCGGCCTCGGATCACAGGCCCCGCCCCTGGGGCTGAGCAGCTCCGCCCCCTTACCCCCAGCCCAGGTACCTGGATGGGATGAACCCAGCGACTGCCCCGACAGGGTTCCCATCCAATTACAGCCTGGACTGTCCCCGGCTCTCCCCCAAGTCGGGGTGCTGCCCTTCACCTTTGGAGCCTGGGACAGTTATGAGGGAGGGACTTTAGACATTCTTGTAGGGAAAGAGGCTGACAGCCATGTTCCTTAAGGATGCTGAGGGCGTAGGGCCAGGAACAGGAGCAGAGGCATGGTTCCTTCCTGAGCAGCTTCCCACCACTGCCGCTAGGCCCCATCACTGCTGGACTCTGTTTCACTCTCCAGCTTCCTGTGAGGCAGTCGGCAGAGCCACAGCCAAAACTCGGACCATTTCTGTGCCAGCTGTCTAAGCAGAGGGCCTCAAAGAAACTAGAAATTTTGCCAATGCCTAAAGGTAAAGACTGCCATCAGATCAAATAGGACTTTCACAGCTGGTGGAAATCTTCCAGGGGGCCTGGGTTCAGGACCCTCCATTACTGGCCTCTTAGGCCCTTTAGCCTCAGTCAAGAGGATTACAGCTGCCCCACTCCACAATGGCTGCTTCCTTCCTTCCCATCCTTTATGTCCCTGTAACCTCCCCCCTCCAAACTGCCCAGAAGTCATGCCTCTCCCATGGGAAGAGGAGCGGACAGGGAAACCTGCCTCCCAAGAGGAGTGTATGTGTGTGTGTGTGTGTGTGTGTGTGTGCCTGTGTATGCACCCACATGTGGTGGCTGGGGAATGGATGGACGGCACAGTGGCTGATATGAAGCCTGTGTGAATGTGTGTGTAACAATAAATGACTATCACAGTCTTCCTTGGCTCTTCCTTCATGTTTGCCCCTCAGTCTTACGTGTCCTTTCCTTGTTTGAGTCAGACTGCACCAGAAACCTCCCAGCTCCACATGTTGAAGAGTGGCTGGCAGAAGCCTGGTCTCATGGCAAGGAAGAGAACTAGGCCTGCTGAGGAAATGGGGCCACAAACAAGATCTTGCCTTCCACGCCCATCTCTTAGCCTTCCCATTTCCTGGAACCAGCCCCAGACCAGCCCAACAACACGCACACCGAGAGACAAACCCTGTGGAAAAAATAAGTCTATTTCATGCCCTTGAGGGCAGCCAATCAGTGAGAAGTCCTCTCATTTAGGCCTGTGAGTCTCATTCAAGGGAAATGGGGGGTGGAGGGGCGGGGAAGCAAAAGAGGGAACTCTCCCACTACCAATCACTCTGTCCCTGGTCCCTCCTCAGAGTTTGAAGGAAGCTCCACCTGGGTCCACAGGAAGTTGAGGCTGGTCTCTGAGGTCCTGCTGAAAAGCAAGATGGGAAAAGGGAGCAGCTGGCTGGAAATACTGACCCTCAAACCTGTAGACCAGCAAGGAAAGTCCAGTAATGTTTTTCTGTCTAGTGAGCAAGCCTCAATTTATGAGCTGGTATTCTGAGTGCCGCTTGTGGCTTAGCAGCAGAAACAGACCTCCTGCCAGCAGCATGAGCCCCGGAGCACCTAGGGCCACTGCCATGATGCCCAGGACAAGCGGGGACAAGGCATCCACTGGAGGGGTACCCACACCCAGGAGCATTGACCTAGAGCAAGCAGAGTGAGAAAGGGAGGTAAGTAGGCTTAGGAGGGAAGGCTGAGAGGCCCAGCCCTCCCCTACTTCAACCTCCCAACTGTCGGCCCACGCCCTGACTCTTACCAGCTGAGGTAGTGTTGGTCCCAGTAGCCAGGGCCTGTGGAAGCCCCAAATGTCAGATTGAAGGCACAGAAGTTGCTCTGGGGCCCGAAGAAGGCTCGGACAATGGGTGACTGTGGGAGAACGTATGCCAAGGTGGGGTAAAGAGGGGAAACTTGGCAGGGCATGGCTGATTCCCGGCTCCCCTGCTTCTGTGAGAAAGCCACTGGTCGCCACTGCATGAAGCCTGATGGGAGGGAGCCCCATAGCAGTTGGTCCAACTGGGGAGAAAGGCAAACAGGCAGGGTGAGGAGAACCAACAGTGTTGCTCCCCTACCCTTTCCCAGCCTCTGACAGGAGTTGTCCTGAGTCCTAGACCTGGGTCTAGAACTCACAGGCTGTTTGTACCAATCTCTTCTCTGCAGAAAGGGGAGCTGAACTGGATGGCAGAGTCTTTTTCCAGCCTCAACACTCAGCAAACCTGCACTCAGCTCCCTCTTCTGGGCCCCCACACCCTTGCAGATCCCACCTGCCAGAGCACTAGTCATACTGGACTGCCTTCTGTCTGGCTTCCCCACTGACGGCAGAAACGGTGCTAAATTCATCAGCATAGTGCCCAGCACAAAATTGCTGAATAAAGTGCTGCTAAATCGTAAATGGTTGAATGATTGTCTGTAATCCTAAGGTCCCCCTTTCACCCCCTATCCATCTGTCTCTCTGCTGGAAGCCTAACCTGGAAGACGGCAGGTGCATATTCATCATCAATGGAGTGCTGCTCCTGCACCGAGGGGCAGTCGGGGCCCTGGCCCAAGGTGGCTACCTCCAGCCCAAACAGGGAGCGGTTTCCCCGGGGAGAGGCCCCAACCAGGGCCACTTCTAGCTGGCAGGTGTCCGCTGTGTGGAGAAGGCGAGGGGGTTGGAATGGTCGGCCAGATCTGGAGAAGGCCTGCACCTAGGATGGAGGAGGCAAAGGAGGTGTGGGAAGCAGGTGGATACCTGCATTTGAAGACAACCCCCCATCATTAACTCCCACCCTCATAAACTGGCCTTTTGAATTCTGATTCTCCATAACCTTACCCTGAAGATCAGGCTGCCATTGGCAAAAGCCCCAGTGGGGTCGTGAATGGGGTGGCCTTGAAATGTAACACTCAGGGTGGCAGGATCCAATGAGTCAGTGATGTTGTTCCAGAAGAACTCAGCCAAGGAATACGGAGGATATGACTTTCCTGGAGAATCTGCAGCCGCATCAGATGTGTTGGTGCTGTCAAACTCAAATAGCTGGAGGGTGGGGGTGGGGAGGGACTGGGTTGCCTGAGTCCAGCTTTCTCCTGAATCACCACCCCCACCCCATTCACTGGACCCCACCCCAGGCTCTCATACGCGACTCTACTTCACCCACTCTGTCTTTAGTTTCTCCCTCTAATTCAGATGAACCCTCTCCTCTACACTCTTCCCCTTGGTTCTCCCCCAACCTCCTCACCCTGGTAAAGACGAGGGCAGAAGAAAATTGGATGCTGTCCTTGGGGTGTACCATCAGGGCCCCATCAGGATCAGAGGAGATCAGGAGGCTCCAGTTGACACTCAGGGTGCTGTAGGGGGTGTTGGTAGCCACCAGCAGCACTGCTGGGGGTCCCAGGCTGCTCCACACATAGTGCAGTGTGGAGTTGGTACCCACCGCCCGGACATGAAGCAGGTTCTGGGGGGCATCCAGCCAGTCAGAGATGACCTCCAGAGACACCTGGAAGGAACATGAGTAGTGGAGGGTCAAGGGAACCGATCCAGGGAGAGACACAGGGGAAAGATGCTTGGGGACAGGGAGACCGGGCTTCAGAAATGATGAGGAAAGGGTGGGACCCTGGGGTCTAGGCAAGAGAAATGCTTGTGGGAGCTAAGGAGATTCTGGTGTAAAAGGAGAGGTGGGGTGGAGGAGAGGTGTGTAAAGCCAGAAGTGCCCTGATCTTGGTGGAGAGATCAGGGCACAGGGCCGAGAGGAAGAAAAAAATCCAACACTTGCCTGGACCTGGCTCACTCAGGGCTAAGTCATGGTCCAGCTTTCACCAGAAGACAGGATACCCTCACATCTGCCCTGTTCCACAGTCCTGTCCCATGATCCATGGCTGCCCCGACTCTCAGATTGGAGAAACTCTATTCCATGCAAGCACCCTCTACCACCACCCCTCAGTTGCCTGGGTTCCAAATACCCTTCAAGGGTAGCATATCCTGAAACACCTACTGCCGTAGCTCCTCACCTGGCGGGTCTCTTCCCCCAGCAGGCCAAATGGAGCTGTTGTCAGAAGTAGACTCAGGAGGAGCACGGGGCTGGGGGCACAGTGCCCCCAACCCCGGCAGGGCTCCTCACAGCCACTCATGCGGTCCCAGCTCCAGAGGGCGGAAGAAACGCTAGTCATGTGACTCACAGGTTCAGCTGATCTCTTTAAAGGGTGGGGCCATCACAACAGTTCTTAAAGAGACCGCCTCCCTTAACCCAGATTTCGGCTTGAGTGAGAATAGAATCAGAAAGGTTAGTTCATCATCCCCCACGGAGATGGCAAACAAGGTATCTCAGACGGGATTTGCAGACATACTCGCAACCTCTCCTACCTAGCTGGTCCCACTGAACAGTTATCTGTAAGTGGGCATGATATCTGGATTCAAGGTCCAAATAGAATCTCTATAAAATGTCTCTGTGGCAGGGAAGGCAGAGAGAGGAATTTGAAGGAATTTGGTAGAAGAGAGCGCGTACCTCAGGGTTTTTTTTTTTGTCAATTATTAATATTTATTGAGCCCCCAGGTGTACAGGTTCTTGTCCTGGAAGAGCTCACAATTTTATCGTAGAGAAAAGAAACCCTAGGTAACAGGATATGAAAGCAGTATGTATTTGTCAAACAAGGGAGTTCGAATCTGGCTGAATGAAACACTTTTTCTTGTTCTTTTTTTCTTAAGCCTAAAATTATTTTGACTAATAGTATATGCATGTTACTGAGTCCAGACTTGTTCTGCTCACCGCACGACAGGCCATTAAATCAGGAGACGAGGTGTTGGGGCAAGGAATAGGGACTTTATTCGGAAAGCTGGCAGACTGAGAGGATGACAAGCTAATGTCTTGGAGAATCCTCCTCCTCCAGTCAGCACACAGGCTTCTTTTATACAAAAAAACAGGGGAGGGGGTGTGGTTGGTTGTTGCAAACTTCTTGGTGTAGGATTCTTTGCTCCTGCAGCTGTCCACGTGGGCCAGCTCATGGTGCTCCTACAAAACCTCCAACAAAACAAATGTTATTCTCTATTCTGCAATTTATCTTTACGTGAGTGCAGAACTAGGAAGACTAAGCCTAGACAACAGGGCACAGGATTAAAGCCAAAGGAACAGATCTAATATGGAGTCAGATTTGTTCCTTTCCTGTTAATGCATATGGTATAAAACTCAGAAGGTACCAAAGGGTATCACCCCTTTTCCCCTGCAATCTGGGTCCTTCCTTGTGATAACATTACTATCAGTTTCTTACATGTCCTTCCTAAAATAGTCTAAGCACACTCAAATATATATACATACACACAGTACATTATATATATAAAATACCATATAATGGCATCCACTGTTCTGCAGTTTGCTTTTTCACTTATATTTTGGGGACTGTTCTCCATTAATGCATTTGGAACAGTCTCATTCTCCATAGTATTTCATAGTGGGGGGGGTATTCCCTGGATATATTTAGCCAGAACCTTGATAGTTTGCAACACTTTGCCATGGCAAACAACACTGAGAGGAATAGCCCTGTGTGTACCACATTTCATACACATTTGTAACCAAATCTACAGGATAAACACCCAGGGGCAGAACTGATGGTCAAACTGCCCTCTGAGGTTCATCAATTGACACACCATGTTCGGGGACTCATTTCTCCCACATCCCGGCAAGTGTTTACCAAACTTAATTACATTTCCCTGGAACAAGGTTAAGCATTTCTTTGTTTTAGTCATTTGTTTTTGCTTCTCTGAAGCTATTTATACTCTTTGCCTATTTTTCTGAGGCGGTCTTCTTGACTGCCAAGTTCCAAGTTTAAGGAAAGTACTCATGTATTGTTGCAAACATCCTCCCTCCCTCATTTGTCTTTTGCAGTGCAAATCTATGTAGTTACCCTATTTTTC